ACAAAAAAGTTGATAAATTGGATTTCATCAAAATTAAAAGTTTTTGCTTCAGAAGATAAGAATTAATTATCAGAATTAATTATAATTAATTAATTATTAAGTATTAAAGTATTTCCTAATCATACAACTAGTAAGGGACTTGTATTCAGAATATAAAAAAGAATCTTGCAACTCAATAGACAAGTAACCCAATTTAAAAATGGACAAAAGATTTAAGTAGACATTTCTCAAAGGAAGATATTCAAATGACTAGTAAGCACATAAAGAGATAGTCGACATCATGAGTCAACAGAAAAGTGCAAGTCAATACCACTTCATACCCACTAAGGTGGCTAGAATTAGAAAAACAGCATTGGGATAATGTGTAAAAATTAAAACCCTCATAGGTTACTGGCAGGACAGTGAAATGGTACAGCCTTTTGGAAAATAGTTTGGCAGTTCCTCAAATGGTTTAGTGTAGAATTACCTCAGGACCCAGCAATCCCACTCCTGTGTATATACCCAAGGGAGTGAAAACGTGTCCATACAAAAACTTATGTACAATGTCCATGCCTGCATTCTTCATAATAGCCAAAAATTAGAAACAACTCAGATGTTTTTCAGCTGAATAAATGGATAAGCAACATATAGCATAATTATACAGTGAAATATTACCCAGCAACAAAAAGAAGTATTCATGCATGTTACAACATGGATGAACCTTCAGAACATGCGAAGTGAAAGAAGATAGTCACAAAAGGGCCCAAATTCTATGATTACATTTATTGGAAGTGCCCAGAATACGGAAATGTATAGAGACAGAATGTAGATTTGTGGTTGCTTGGACTTGGAGAAATGGCAGGTTAGAGAGCTGATTTCTAAAGGGTACTGGGTGTCTTTTTAAGTGGACAAAAATGTTCTAGAATTGACTATGGGGATGGTTGCACACATCTGGGACCGCACAATTTACATGGGTGAATTGTGTGCTTTGTGAGTTACATCTCAATAAAGCTATTAAAAATAAAAACACTGGGGGAGACAAAGGGATCAGATAAGAATCCCTTATGTTTATAAGGAACTAGTGTGGTTAATTAGAAATGTAAAATTTATGGTTTATTTAATGTTAGGGGAAAAGTATAATTATGTATTCTGTATAAATATATTTGTTAGTGTTTTGATTCTATGAGGATTAATTGAAATAAAATAGAGCACCAAGAGAAATTATAAAATGAAATATAAATGGGAAGCACTAAGAATAAAAAAAGTCAAGAATGTCAGTTTGGAAATATTTTTTCCCACATGCATGAATTCAACTTTTATTCAGTGGCTTCATTACTGCACTCATGTTTCATTATATAGTGAGGTTTTTGTTTTATTTAATTCCTGAGTTGGGATGACCCTGGTATTTTACAAATTTAAGTAAATTTGTACAGGAAATACAGAAAAATACAGGAAAGGTAAATTCCCATGCTATAATTATAGGTCTTGTTATATAAAATACAACACATGCTCTTGATAAATTTCTGTGAAAATTCACTTTTTGTAATCGATTTAAATCATTTTCTTTCAGGAGCAATCACGACCTCCTTTTCACAAGTTGGAACTTTTCCCTACATATTTGTTTCTATTAAAATAAAGGATGCCTAAATGAAAACAGTTTAACACAATTATGTAAGCCTGATAATTAGATCCAACAAATGTCTGACCTGGAGATTAGAACCAGCCAAACAGCAGAGATCCTGGAAGGAGTGAATCATAGGAAATTAGACATTTAATGATAGTGTCTATTCACTGTCTCATAATTCTTCCTTCAATTTTACAAGAACCCTGATGTATTATGGCATTTTCTTTTTTTTTAAGATTTTATTTATTTGACAGAGAGAGACACACAGAGAGAGGGAACACAAGCAGGAGGAGTGGGAGAGGGAGAAGCAGTCTCCCCACTGAGCAGGGACCTGACGTGGGGCTTGATCCCAGGACCTTGGGATCATGACCTGAGCTGAGGGCAGACGCTTAACAACTAAGCCACCCAGGCGCTCCTATAATGACATGTTCTAATGGAGGTCCCACATCCAAGAATATGGGTCAGTTCCCAGAGTGGTGTAAAATCTGAAAACTGTGCATGAAGTATACCTGCTTTGAAGCCATCTGGAGCATCGGCTTAAAGTCTGAGAAATGACAAAATTCTGAGGAAACTGGCATTGGACTTGGCTTCTTTTTATTGCTTTTCTGGAGTACTCATCTTGGGCTCGGAACCAGAGCTTGATCAGAAACAGGCTTACATCCAGGGACCTGGACATTGTGGTAGTCTTTGTGATTATCTGGTTTTGGTTCGGAACCATCTCAGACACATCCCACTTGCTGGGGGCCAGCCTCCTCTGGTTGTGAAAGCAATTCCCTTCAGATGCAGCATGACATCAAGCATGGGCTTGATTTCCAGCTCCAATACCTACTACCTCTGAGACCCTGAACAAATTATCTCACCTCTCTGAGCTTCCAATTTCTCATCTGGAAAAGTGGGTAACAACACTTAGATATAAGGGGGGAGGTGGGAGATAGAACAGATGTTTAAGGGTCCAAACTTGCAGCAAGTAGTAAATCCTGGAGATCTAAAGCACAGTATAGGGAATATCGAGAATACTGTGTTATAATCACCAAACTTGCTGAGACGAGAATTTAATTGTTTCAACACCAAAAAATTATAATTATGTAACATGATAGAAGTGCTAATTATCACCCAAACGGCAATCATATTACAATATATAAATATCATATAAATATATTTTAATAAACTTGTACCATGTTATATGTCGAATGCATTTAAAAAAAAAAAACAGGGGCGCCTAGGTGGCTCAGTGGGTTAAAGCCTCTGCCTTCGGCTCAGATCATGATCCCAGGGTTCTGGGATCGAGCCCCGCATTGGGCTCTCTGCTCAGCAGGGAGCCTGCTTCCTCCTCTCTCTCTGCCTGCCTCTCTGCCTACTTGTGATCTCTGTCAAATAAATAAATAAAATCCTTAAAAAAAAAAATATATATATATATATATATATATAAAACAATACATAGAAGGTATGAGGATATCTTTAGACACCAGGGTTCTCATAAGACTAAATGAAAACTTGGGCTATACTCCCTATTCAATAAGTGGACACTACTATTAATAATAACTCTAAGGCAGGGGCATCTGGGTGGCTCAGTTCGTTGAGCATCTGCCTTTGGCTGAAGTCCTGATCTCAGGATCCTGGAATCCAGCCCTGTTTCTGGCTCTGTGCTCAGCAGGGAGTCCGCTTCTCTCTCTCCCTCTCTCTCTGTGCTCTCTCTTGCTCACTTTCAAATAAATAAAAAAATCTTTAAAAAAATAATAACAATAACTCTAGGGATGCTTGGATGGCTCATTCAGTTATGCGTTTGCCTTCAGCTCAGGTCATGATCACAGGGTTCTGGAATCAAGTCCCGTATTGGGCTCCTTGCTCAGTGGGGAACCTGCTTCTGCCTCTGTCTGCCACTCCCCCTGCTTGTGCTCTCTCACAAATAAATAAAATCTTTAAAAATAAAATAAAATAATAAATAAACTGTCCTTGTTTATCAAGCACCTGGGTGGCTAAGTCAGTTAAACATCTGCCTTCAGTTTAGGTCATGATCCCAGAGTCCAGGGATCGGGTGCCACATCAGGATCCCTGCTCAGCTGGGAATCTGCTTCTCCCTCTGTCCTTAACCCTGCACATGCTCTCTCTTGCTCTCTCAAATAAATAAATAAAATCTTTAAAAAAAATAATAATAACAACTCTATATAGGGGCACCTTACTGGCTCAGTCAGTAGACCATGAGATTTTTTTTTTTTTAAAGATGTTATTTATTTGACAGAGCGAGATCACAAGTAGGCAGAGAGGCAGGCAGAGAGAGAGAGGAGGAAGCAGGCTCCCTGTCAAGTAGAGAACCCGATGCGGGCCTTGATCCCAGGACCCTGTGATCAAGACCTGAGCCGAAGGCAGAGGCTTAACCCACTGAGACACCCAGGTGTCCGACCATGAGATTTCTTGATCTCAGGGTCGTGAGTTTGAGCTCCACAGTGGGGGTAGGGTTTACTTAAAAATAATAATAATTCTGTTGATGAGAGGGGTAGTGGAAACCTGACTAAGCATCTCATGGAACTCAGCTTAACTTTGCTAAAAATGTTTTACATATGGGCTTTCCATTTTGGCAACCTCCTGAGGTAGAACTTTAGCCCTAAAAGGATTGCTTCTTGAAATACAATTTTAAAAACGCAGCCAAATGTTTGGAGAAGAGAATATATGCTTATAAACTTGAGGCACAAACTATTGTTTTCTCTAAAATTAAATTGATACTACTTTGCCCAGTGAGCACAAGTGACCTATTCCAAATGTGTTATCAGAATAACTGACCGGTTTAAACAACCAGACTTGTAACAATCCTCAAAAAACTTTCCATTCTCCTGAAAAAGGGAAGTATGGGAAATGTTTTATGTTTCATTCAGATCTAAGCAAATGCCATATGTTTGCTTTGCCTTTATCTACAGCTATATTGGTACCCCATTTAGAAAATTTAATGTTTTGGTCAAATTATTACATATATGTTCCTTCTTGGGGAAAAAAATTACAATTATTTTTGTGCCTGCAATCTGCATCTAAACTGTGGTTCTTGGATGCCTGGGTGGCTCAGTGAGTTAAAGGCTCTGCCTTCGGCTCAGGTCATGATCCCGGGGTCTTGGGATCGAGCCCTGCATTGGGCTCTCTGCTCAGTGGGGAGCCTGCTTCCTCCTCTCTCTCTCTTTCTACCTGCCTCTCTGCCTTCTTGTGATCTCTCTCTCCATGTCAAATAAATAAATAAAATCTTAAAAAAAAAATAAACTGTGGTTCTTGATCATTTATTAGTCAATGGAATTTCAAGGGATTAATAAGTCACTAAATCATAGGTCACTAAATAGCTCAGAAGCAAGAGGAGTTTTGCTGCCAGGGATAAAAAATAACTGTAAGGTGTAATGAGACTACTCCATGTACATACCAGTGTTTGCAATATGGAGTACTCCAGACATCATTTGTGGCATCATCTGGGAAGGGAAACTCTTTGCCAAGTCATCAGCTTTATTGATTTTCCAGTTCTTCTCAGTATAGGGTTTTTTAATATTGCCTTCCAATATACAAGTAACTGCAGAACAGCCACTCCATCGAACCCTGGACACTTCATTCCTTCCGAGACGTAAAAGCCTGTCCATTCTCCAAAACGCTTTAGCAAAGGCTTTGTGTATGTTCTCATACTCACATTTCACCTTTTTTCTCTTTTTCTTTACGGAGGAAAAAAGTTCTTCTATAGCTATGTATTCTTCCCTAAATACCGTGTGAAAGGATTTGATTACATTTTGCTCTTCAGGAGTCATTTGGTAGGAAGGATCAAATCTGGAAAGTTGATGGAGAAGTAAAACTGGGAGTTCCATTGAAGTCAAGCCTGCTGCTGAGGCGCCATGATGTCCATCAAACAAACCGAAAAAACACACATCAGGTTTATTGCCAAAGTTATTCACCACAGTGAATTTATCATTCATGTCAGCTTTCCATGTAGAATTTCTGTCTTCACAAATAGCTACACCTTTAATCAATCCATGACAGACTGCTTGAGAACATATGGAACTCCTGTGAACGTTATCAATGATCTTATAGTATGCTGGTATTTGTTTCTTCCAAAGTAGCTCAAAAGCATTATTAATGCTCTGGAGGATTTTTTCAGTGAATATAGAAAATGACAATAGTTTAGTGATCATAAACTGTCTCTGAATGGAAACCAGTGGAAGTGCTGGTTTCTTTGTACTCATCCATTGAAACCCCAAGGTGGCCAGAGCCACATGCTGCTTTTTATGGAGGAAAACATCAGGTAGATCAATTTCACGCTTGCATATGGAACATGGAAATGTCATCAGTTGGTCACGCTGCTGTTCATGGTCTTCAGAGTCTCCTGACAGTCTGTCCTCCTTCTTCCTTCTAGAACACCTTCTTCTCAATGAAAGTGAGATGTCACTTTCTGATTCAAATGTTGATTTTCCCTCATTCCATTCCCTTGATTTCCAAAACACTCTGCAAACAGGACAAAAGATATTGACATGCCAGGAATAACACATTGAAAGCTTTTTTCTTTTTTAGGTTTATTTATGTATCATAGAATTGGAGAGAGTGAACACCTGGCAGGGGCAGAGGGAGACAGTCTTCCAGCAGATTCCCCACTGAGCACAGAGCCCCACTCTGGGCTTGATCTCTTGATCCATGAGATCATGACCTGAGCCCTGACCCCAAGTGGACAGTCAGGCACTTAACCCACTGAGCCACCCATGTGCCCCAACACATTGAAAGTCCTTGCAAGCAGACCCTTTTCTTTGCAATTTGTTTTAGGTTCTCAAAACTCTATGCGGGCCTACTATTGAATATTCTGATGCATCTTTCTATCATTCCTTAAAAAAAAAAAAAACCGCACAAAAAGTACTCAAAAAATTGGTGATTGAACTTTGTATGCCTGAATAAAATTAGGCAAAGTCTATACGAAGTCAACTAGAAATCTAAGAACAAATACTCAGAGAAATCAGCACAAGATTGTATCCCAGGCATGTGAAGGTTTATGCTTGAAAACTAGGTATTTGAATTTGAATTTTTGTACTCCATTTTATCTTGCTGAAAATACTTTTTTTTCCCCTACTTAAAGGGTTCACAGGAAAATGAATAGGAGTGCCTGGGTGGCTCAGTCGGTTAAGCATCCGAATTTTCCGGCTTTGGTCAAGATCTCAGGATGATGGGATTGAGCCCTGCATGAGGCTCTGCACACAGCGCCCTGTCGGGTTGAGATTCTCTCCCTCTGCCTGCCTCTCGGCCCCTCCCCCTGTTGGTGTACTCTCTCTAAAATAAATAAATTTTTATTTTTTAAAAGACTGTATTTATTTGACAGAGAGATCACAAGTAGGCAGAGAGGCAGGCAGGCAGAGAGAGGGGGAGGCAGGCTCCCTGCTGAGCAGAGAGCCCCATGGGGGACTCGATCCCAGGACCCTGAGGTCATGACCTGAACAGAAGGCAGAGGCTTAACCCACTGAGCCACCCAGGCGCCCCTAGTTAGTGGCTTAAAATGTTTATGACATGTGATATGTTAACTTCTACGCAACTTCATGTAAGTTATATTTAACTTCAACTCAACTCACAGAAGTTGTATTTGATCTTAGTACATTGAATGTGTTAGATACGCCTACAACAATAAGAATGTCTGAGGCCTGTAGGGACTTGGAATATTCCAAGCATAGTAACAGGTATTCAAGAATGCTTATAGTTGTTAAAATAAGAAATGAATACATTTAGTCCTGATGACAAAATAGTATCTCTGAGCATAAAAGTAATGCATAATCATTTTTAAGTTCAAGACAGAAAGACACAAACTAGAAATGAAAAAGCTTTCACCTTTTTTCTCCAGTCTCACCCCCACCTCCCAAATCCCAGTCTCGGTTAGTGGCCTGTTATCTATCTTTTGAAATATGTATATATAAGATATACTATAATATATTAATAATATATGTGTCATTTTATATAAATATAATTATCATATATCAATAATATATATTATATATGTTCTATATAATTATATCACTTATATAATGTGTTATATTAAATATAATAATTAAATATATAATAATACATTAATAGTATTAACATAACTTACATAAATATACTTGCCTATAAAATATATCTGTCATCTTTTCTGAAATGTAAATTTTGTAGACCATCCTAAAATCTGCCATTATTTCTCAATACTAAGTCACGGTCTCATACTGAAAGTTTGAATATGGACAGACAAAACAATATACTATGAACAATGTAGAGTTTGGATTTTAAAAAAAGAACCGTCTTAAAAAAAAAAAAAGCCTGTCGTCACTTAGAAATTATATGGCCTTAGCCAAGTTATTAAGCTTCTCTGAACATCTGCTTTCTTATCTGTAAATGAACATGATTATTTATAGCATCAAATGAGATAAATGGTGAAGCAATTGGCAATAGGGGACCTCAAAAACTGCCTTCACCTTCTACCCGAAGCAAAAAGGGACACTTAGGACTGAACCAAATTAAAACATCTCACATGACATGAACACATGAAATTGTAACACTTAGGGGAAAATATATTATATATAAAACTAATTTTAATGGGGCACCTGGGTGGCTCAGTGGGTTAAAGCCTCTGCCTTCAGCTCAGGTCATGATCCCAGGGTCCTGGGATCGAGCCCTACATCGGGCTCTTTACTCAGCAGGGAGACTGTTTCCTTTCCTCTCTCTCTGCCTGCCTCTCTGCCTGCTTGTGATCTCTATCAAATGAATAAATAAAATCTTAAAAAAAAAAAACCTAATTTTAAAAAAATCAATAAGTCAGGGGCACCTGGGTGGCTCAGTGGGTGCCTGCCTCTCAACCCCTCTGCATCAGGTTCTCTGCTCGGTGGGGAGCCTGCTCCCCACCCCCCGTCAAATAAATAAATAAAATCTTAAAAAAAAAAAACAATAAGTCAATGGGAATTTTTTTTTAAGTGATCTTTACACCCAATATGGGACTTGAACTTACAACCTTGAGATCAAGAGTTGCTTTACTGACTGAGCCAGCCAGGTGCCCTGGGTGAGGATTTTTTTAATAGCAATACCTGAATCTGAGTGTTTCAGAATTGTGTTATATGTATTTATTAATATGTTGTGGTAAACTGTATATATCATTGCCTTACTACAATGATTACTCACTTTAACAAATAATAATAAACTGGACACATAAAACAGAACACAATTTAGGGGCACCTGACTGGCTCAGTTGGAGGAGCCTGGGACTCTTGATCTTGGAGTCCTGAGTTCATGCCCCACTTAAACCACTGAGCCACCCAAGCACCCCTATTTACAAATTTCTACCTCATAAATGCTTCTGAAAATATTAGCATATTAGTAGGTCTTCCTGGCTTTGCCTCAACAACAAATTTTTGTGTGTTTTTTTTAAACAGAAAAAATCAAAACTACACAAAAATAGAAGAGTATAATGAGCCCCCATATGCCCACCACCAGCTTCAACCATTATCAATATTTTTCCATTCTTGTTTCAACTTTGTCTTATTTCATTCTGTTATCTTTATGGGACTATTTAAAAGCAAAAACCAAAATTATATCAATTTCGCTGATAGACACTTCAGTCTCAAAAACAAATTTGATCAGCCTCCATTCACTCCTTTTTTTTTTTAAGATTTTATTTATTTATTTGACAGAGATCACAAGTAGGCAGAGAGGCAGGAGGAAGCAGGCTCCCCGCTGAGCAGAGAGCCCGCCGTGGGGCTCGATCCCAGGACCCTGGGATCATGAGAGCCGAAGGCAGAGGCTTTAACCCACTGAACCACCCAGGCGCCCGCTCCATTCACTTCTTCAACACCTACGCCAGGCCACCTACGGTGAGCACATGTTGCTAAAGCCTTGCAGACAGGTAAGGCTTGAAGCTTCGAGGGGAGGAGTCTGCAGAGACATTCATGTGCTCATGCAAAGAATTAAACAAGTCAGATGAAGTCCAGGACAGTGCCCACCCAGGGACCTACCCCCTCATCTAGCTACAAGTGGCATCATGACACCTGAGAAGCCTACCCAGAAAAACTCACAGTAGAGAGAGATCAACAGAGGGTCCAAGGCAAATTCAAGGGAGTGACCGGTTAGCAGGAGGAAGGAGGAAGAGGACCCAGGGAAGGAACTGGACAGGCAAGCAGAGAAGTATGGGGAGAAATGAGTACTGGCAATGCTATTGAGCTCTTTTGGCTAAAACATATTACAAATATTTTTATTTGCTATTGTTTGGTAATGTTCATGTAAAGGTTGCAGTTTTCCTGAGGCTTGATGAACTGTTGGGACAATCTATAAGGCACCCTACTACTGTCATTTGACTTAGAGTCAATCCTTTACACCAGAGGTTTATTTTCTTGTATATGGGGAATAGCCATAATACAGTTTTCTCTCACAGGAAGCTATGCTTAGAGTGTAATGTGTTTTTCATTCAGTCAACAAATACTTGAGTGTCTGCAATATGCTAAGTACTATTTTATTTGCTGGGGATGCAACAGTGAACAAAACGGGCATGGTCTCTGATGAAGCTTATATTCTGATACAAAGGCAATACATAAAGGAAACATGTATACGTGTAATACCAGGTGGGGGTAAGTACTAACATGAAAAACAGAGGGGCGCCTGGGTGGCTCAGTTGGGTTAAGCCTCTGGCCTTCAGCTCAGGTCAAGATCTCAGGGTCCTGGGATCAAGGCCTGCATCAGGCTCTCTGCTCAGCGGGGAGCCTGCTTCCCCCTCTCTCTCTGCCTGCCTCTCTGCCTACTGTGATCTCTCTGTCTGTCAAATAAATAAATGAAAATCTTAAAAATAGAAAGAAAGAAAGAAAAACAAAGCAGAATAAGAGTATAGAGAGGGATGGAAGCCCTCTTTTGTATAAGGTAGTCAGTAGAATATATCATTTCCTCATGTACTTAGTCTAACAGGAAGCCAAGATTTCATTTGATAACTAAGAAAGTGGAGGAAAAAGAACACTGCAGATAAAATTGTTTATTGACTTACAGATGGCAACAGACACATGAAAAGATGCTCAACGTTAGGGAATGCAAATCAAAACCACAATGAGATAGATATCACCTCGCACCTGTCAGAATGGCTAAAATCAAAAACACAAGAAACAGCAGGTGTTGGCGAGGATGAGGAGAAACAGGAACCCTTGTTCCTGTCAGTGGGAATGCAAACTGGTGTGGGCACTGTGGAAAACAGTATGGAGGACATTATTTACAATAGCCAAATTACAAAAGCAGCCCAAATGTCCATTGATAGAGAAGTGAATAAAGAAGTAATATCCATATACAGATATAGATATTACTTATAAGTACTATATACTTATAGATATTACTTATATTACTTATAACCATATATATGGATATTACACACACACACATATATATGTATATATATGTATATAAAACTTGGGATATTGGGATATTACTCAGCCATAGAAAATGAAATCTCACCATTTGTATGAACATAGATGGATCTGGAGAGTATAATGATAAGTGAAGTGAGTCAGAGAAAGAT